GTTAGTCACATGGTCGTTAAGTGAATCTGTCTTCCCCATTGACTTTGTTGGTAAGAAGCTCACAAAAGGGGATCACATGACCCAGGGACACAACAACCGTCGTAAGTACATGCCAGTTGCCAAGCATCTGAATTTTGATCACTCGCTCGATTGTGGGGATGTTGGAATGGCTGTAAAACGGTCATAAGTCACTTTTTTCAGTGCTGTTGTGAACAACCACTAAAGAAAAGGTTGTAAGTCAAAGACTATCTGTACTGCAAAATTTGCAAGTTAAATAGACAATAGGAAATAGCTAATTTTATACACCTGATCTTAAAATCAAATTTAAAACAGACCAGTGTTAAGGCATTATTTTCCCATTTTTTGTGATAGGGTCGGAAACCACAACTGAGGCAAACCAGATCAGGGAAAACAAGGAGAAATTCAGTGAGCGCCATAGTCAACAATTCCAAAACAGATGATATTTTGCAAAGGCCTGTAGCAACTGGGACAGCTTGTTATTACAATTTTAAATTGGCACGTAAAATACATTCAAGCTGTGTTTGCTGGCCACTTCTTGGCATTATTCCTCCATACGCAACGACAATCTTCTCTCTATAAATAGGCTGTACAGGATGATGGACCACTGAATTTGTGCGGTAGACACTGTTTTACTTCTCATTCGCAAACTCAGCCGATAAAAAGTCCAGAGAAATATGAATTATTTTTGTCTTTGAACCGTATCATGTCGTATTTGCAAACTGAAGTTTTCTCCCTATCCAAATAAGGAGATGCATCGTGTTTTGTAAGGGTTCTTATTCTCATATATGGTGATTTCTAGTTCTGTCTTAGACCTGAAAACTGGCCTGGGTGACTTTGAGCCAAACACCAGGAGACTGGGAGTTCTAGTCCCATCTTAAGACACAAAAGCTGGCTGGGTGACTGCGCCAATCGCCAGGAAGCAATGAATTTCAGTCCAGCGCTAAGAACAAAAGTTGGGTGACTTTGGCCCAATCACCAGGAGAATGGGAGTTCTAGTCCTGCCTTAACTATAAAAGTCATCTGAAGCACCAGTCCCTCTCTCTCAGTCCAACCTACCTCACAGGATTTTTGTTGAGAAAATAGGAGGAGGAGGAGTTATTTATAAAGTAATAAATGTGGGATATAAATAAAGTAACATATTATGATAGAAATTTTGCCTTCTCTACACAATGCAGTATTTTTAAAGCCTCTGTCCAATTATACCCCCTTCTAAGCTGAAACAGCTCTAAATCTACCTCCAGCTTTGAGCTAATCTTGGCTAGCTAGGCCTGACCCAGGGCATCCCTCCCTATAAACCAGGCTCCATGGGGAAGGTCCAATTTAGCCTCCTTTCGGCTCTCTATGTTAAGGGCACGTACCCCATTCAAACCAAAGAAAATGACAGCAAGAAGCTAGACAGGAGCCAAAGGCTCTGCTTCACTGATTCAATGAAATATAGGAACTCTGGAAAAGGATGCCCTCCAGCTGCACCCTGGATTGCTTTTCCTGTCCAAAGAATCGTTTCATCCCTCTTCTGTCCTCAACTCCTGCCCATATTCTTTTTTTTTTTAGATTTAGTCATTGTATCATTACTTTTCATTTTCTCCCCTTCTATTTATGCTTCCAGGTGAAATTGATTCTGTTCTCAGGAAACAAAGTTTCGATTATCTTCCTACTGCTACTCAATTTTGTACTACAGGGAGTCCTCAACTGCAATTGAGCCCAAAATTTCTGGGGTTAAACGAATGTGGGTTTTGCCCTATTTTATGACTCTTCTTGCCACAGTTGTTAAGTGAATCACTTGCAGCTGCTGGTTTGTAAGAGAGTTAAGTGATTCTGGCTGCCCCCATTGACTCTGCTGGTCAGAAGCTCCCAAAAGTTGATCACATGACCCCCGGGACGCTGCAGCCGTCATAAAGACCAGCCAGTTTGCCAATTGTCCAGATTCTGATTGCGGGCTCATGGGATGCTCCAATGGTCAAAAATGTGGCAAATGCTCATGATTCACGTACGTTTCAGCGCCGTTATAAATCTGGATGGTCCCTAAACGAACAGTTGTAATTTGAGGACTCCCTGTAATGACCATCTCTTCCTTTCAGCCTCACTGGAGCTGTGTACAAGGCACCATTCAGTTTCCACAAACCTCTTTAAGGATTCAGGAAAGGTGAAGCACAACTAGAAGGCAAAAAGCTACCGTTTCCTTCAACAGCCCTTTCTTTGTTGTATTTTCGTGTGATCCCTCCATCTATTTGTCCAATGAAACTGAGTAAATTTGAGGAGAGTCCCGGTAGCCAAAACATAAGTGACCCAGAGGGCAGATCTGTGCCCATCGTGCCCAACTATCCAAATAAACAACTGGTGGTTTTTGGAGAAACAGGGCTAAATTTAAAAGTCTTTAAAATTCAGTCTCAGCTCAAAGGCCCTTTTTGTTCCCAGTCCCGGCGCGCTGCAGACTTGGGAGATGTGGTGACTTTCCTTGCAAGGAGGGCTCTTTGTTCTTGGCATACACCCCCAAACCCAAGAATTATGAGAAGATGCAGCTATTCAAGCTATTTCCTGACATTTCTTGGCAGCCCAGGCATTTAAAATATATATATATATATATATATATATATATTAGGGGAAAATTAAAAGAGCAACCGTGGTGCTTAGACTGGAGTTTAGCTCAGTTAACTTTAAATTTGGGTTGGCAAAAATCTGCATTAGGCTAAAACAAACCGTATTAAGTGAGGGCCTGGTCTGCTCAATTGTGAAGACCATCAGTGGGATCCCACAAACTACACAGTTGCAATGTGCTTTGGAAACCCAGCCGATGGTTGCATTCACACCACAAGCCACAGGTTCTTTGGGACAAACTATGGGGATGACATTTGCTGGTCTAATTCCAGATGAATCAGGGAATTTATGGCAGCCCTGATCTTCTGGAGAACCACCATCTTGAAGGCTATGCGGCATGAAGCCATTAAGCTCTTTGCAATAACGTAGTTTTTTGTCCATAATGATCTGTCCCTAACCTAGCCTTCCAACATCATTGCCCAGAAGATCACTGGTTGCTCTCTCCCCTCTTTGGAAGAGCTTTATAGCTCCCGCTGCCTTAAGGAAGTTCAAAACATCCTCAAAGATCCATCTCATCCTGGGAACCCTTTTTTTTGAACTATTACCATCTGGCAGACGGTACAGGATAATAAAAACAAGGACAAAGAGGCTGAAAAACAGCTTCTATCCCAGGGCAGTAACTCTATTGAATTCTATTGTATAGTGGAGTGTTGGTGCAGTGTCAGGGGTTTTCAATTCAATGTGTGGCGTGTGAAGGATGTGTGTTTGTGTTTATTTTCATGGTCATGATGTGCACTAAAGATGGTGTTTGATTTCGTTGTACAAGGTGCAATGACAATAAACTAAACTAAAACTAAACTAAACAACAATAATCTTCAAGTTAGCTCAATTAATTTTGAGCTATCAAGCTTCGGACAGAGGTCCCCAACCCGCTGTTCCATGGACCTGTTTATTTTATTTAAATTATTACCAAGGCATTGACTTAAAGAGATGTTCAGATAATCTTTCACCACCTCAAATAATGAAGAACTGGAAGAAGAGGCACGAGATGGGTGACAGAGGCACGTGCTTAGAAAGGCATACGGACTGAGTCAGCATGTCCACCACAGTATATAAGGCTGCCATATTTCATGAGACTTGAAAATTGACGGGCATAAGCATCAGAGCCAAATTAAAGAAAAAAGCAAAAAGATCTTTGCTCTGTCCCCTTTCTCTTCTGTTAAGGAATATGGGAAGCACCTTGGAGAATATACGAAACGATCATTGAGAAACTTGCAGAAAACATTACACAATTCAGAGGAGAGAGGTGTGAGCATAAAAAAACTCAAAATAGCCCTGACTTTCATGTTTAGTATGAGTTGAAGTAGAGATAAACTTGTCTCTTGAAATCCTCCTCAAGATACATGTTAGTCCTTGACTTACAAACATCAGTGACCATTCAAAGTTACGACACCAGACAAAGGGATTTAGGATCATTTTTCACACTTATGACTGTTATAGCATCCCCGTGGTCATCTGATCAAAATTCAGAGGCTTGGCAACTGGCATGTGTTTAGGACGGTTGCGGTGTCCCAGGGTCACAATTCTCCCTTTTGCGGCGATCTTCTGACAAGCAAACTCAAGGAAGCCGGATTCACTTAACAATTGTGCTCCTAACTTAACTGCGGTGATTCACTTAACAATGGTGGCAAGGAAAGACATCAAATGAGGCAAAACTCAACCGTCTTGCTTAGCAATGATAATTTGGGGCTCTACCTGTTCTACAATAAAGTAGCATTTACGGTATGTCTGTACCTTGACCTGGCCTACCTTAGAATCATAGAACTAGAAAGGAACCTGGAGGTCTTCTAGTCCAGCCCCCTGCCCAAAGCAGGAATCCTTACTCCACCCCAAATAAAGGGTTGTACAATCTGTTCTTGAAAACCTCAAGGAATTTCTCTTTATTTCCAGTTTGGATCTCTCTCTGAGGAGCTTCCACCCCTTTGCTTCTTTTCAGGTGCTTTGGAGAAGAAGTCAAACACCCACCTTCTTATCAAGTGTCTTGCACAGTGTTACTGGCCAATAGCAAATTCTGCTCATATAGGATCTGATCTATTAAGAGTCCACATATCCCTGCCAAAGAGATAAGGGGAACAGCTCGTAACCAGTTTTTCCTTCCGTACCTTCCTTTTAAAGCAAGAACTGTAAGACCTTGAAATAGCAAATGCATGCTGCCAGGAAGGACTTTGACTTGAATCTGTTAATGATTTGACCAGTTTTCTTGTAGGATCAAGCACATTGTTTCTGCCTAACAACTGGAAGGCAACGGATCTAAAAATAAGTAATGAAGTTATTGGAAAAACAAGGACATCGTGGCAACCAAATGTAGGCTTGTCCGCTCTGCAGTGTTCCCCGGAGCTACCTCTGGTTGTGAAAGTTGGACCTTATAAAGGCAAGACTCGTTTGAGCCGTGGGGCTGGAGAAGGCGCCTGCTATTCCTTGGACAGGAGAAGTGACCAACACGCAAGGCCTGGAGGACATAACACCAGACGTGTCCATGGAAGGCAAAATCAGGATACTGTCTCACTTATTTTGGCCATGTCATGTAGGGGAATTCATTGGAAAAATCAATTATACTGGGAAGAGTTAATGGTAAAAGGAAACCAGGCCACCGAAGAACATGGTGGCTGGGCACCACTGTAGAAAGTTAGCACCCACCCCTGTCCTAGAAGAATGAAATATTCTAGGAAATATTAAAAAGGCAGAATATTGTATTTCCCTGGATGAAAAAAGGAGAAACATGTTTTTAAAGACAAAGCAGCTTCCTGCAGCTCCCTGCCCCCACCTTCAGCTCCAGGGTGATGGGATCAGGGCATGATAGGATTAGCCCTCTACCCACCACATGGCACCTGGGAAGATTGCATCACCCAGCAAGATTCAACCAAGCTACCATGGGATGGCCCCACGGGAGACTGACAACCAATCAGGATACATTTCTTGCTACAGGAACAGGAAGCAAGTTCAAAGCCCAGAGAGGACATAAAGCCAAGGGACTCTCAGCATCTCTTTCCTTTTCGCCCAGGAGTTCCAAGGCATGTGGTCCTGTCCACAATTAAAGCCATCTTTCCAAACAGTCGCCGTGTTTCCAGTGTCTTTCCTCCCACTTGGAACTGAACCCAGATGGACATTTCTCCCAACGCCATCAAAGCTAACACTAGCCAGAGCATAAAACAACTCAAAGAAGCAATGCAAGATCAGAAGATGGGGAGAGTCCTGGCCCAGAGAATCGCCAAGAGTTGGACACGACTGAATGGATCACATCAACACCATCAATCAACTTCTATTATTCAGCTCTTGAAATCTCATTTCCAGGAAGTTGATTGCATCATTCATGTCAGCTTCATCCAAGTAGTGTGGTAACAATTATCTCGAATACAGTACTCCAAAACACAATGTGTATTCCTTATAATTCATTACTTAGGTCTCTTAATCTCATTTTCTTCAAAGGTCTTCAGTTGATCAAGGATGAATTTGCCAACATTAAGAGTAGTTCAGAAAGGAAGCCTTACACTTGGCAAACTATGACCAAATCAAGATTTTAATGAGGGGGTTCTTGGTGCTCTCTGAGCTTGGTTGTCTTCCTGCAGGTATTTCATTGCCCAAACTAGGTAACATCATCAGTGCTAGAAGGGAGTGGGGTTATATTGTATATAAAAAGAGAGCAAACCCCATTCCCTTCTAGCACTGATCCTAGTTTAGGTAATGAAATATCTGCCAAAAAAAACAACAACCCCACAACCAAGCTCAGAGAGCATCAAGGACCCCTCATTTCAATCCCAAGACACAAATATTTCCTTTACAAGTTTTTAATATTCTGGATGAATTCTGAAAAGATGTCACGGGGCCTATTCTTGTCTTTATTGCATTATTACTGAAATACAGATAAATCACTTAACAACCAGGTTAATGATCTACCAACTGAGTGATTCACTTACAAGTGTGACAAGAAAGAAAATGGTTAGAAAATTCACTTAAGTGCCTCGCTCAGCAACAGAATTTTTGGGCTCAATTGTGGTCATAAGTCAGGCCTCCTTATATCTCCAAACAAACAAGCTCAGAGCACATCAATGACTCAATAGTTCAGCTCTAAGCTCATTAGCACGATGTAGTACATCTTCAGGTTACATCTTAATAAACGTAAATCTGACTTATAAGTGACAGTTGATAAGAAAGTATTAGGCTTATGATTCTCTGACGAAAAAGAGGGATAAGCAGCAAAAATAAAAATTACTATTCTGCCCGTGGCTGTTTTCCTTATAGAACAGATTACAGATGGTCCTCATTTAGTGACTGCCTCATTTAGCAACTGTTTGCAGTTATGATGGTGATGAAAAAGTAACTGTGGCCACTCCTTGTCTTTACTATGGCAGGTCTGTAAAGCAAAGGAGGGCTGAAGCTAGATCATAAACAGCCGTTTTGCTAAGCTATTGCTTTACTTAACAATCAAGTTGCAGCTCCCTACTATGGTTGCTAAATGAGGACTGCCTCCATTTCAAGACTTATCTCACCATGACTATAGTGGAATACCTAATGAAAGACCTCCTTATCTCATGAACTGAAGAACCTGGCTTTAAAAGGTAGAAAAATAAAAACTAAATGCTTTGGAGAAAATTTGCCCATTGTCACAAAACCACTATGCAAACCCTACTTTCTAGAAACAGACAACATCTCCATATAAGGCGCTGAACCTTACTCAATCACACAGACAGAAAACAGAGAGTTCAAAATAGGAAATTACACCAACTAGAAAGCAAAGTTAAAAGGCACACAGTATAGCTAGTCCTCAAAGTATGACCACAATTGAGCCCAGCATTTATGTTGTGGGAAATTCGGAGTTTTGCCCCATTTATGATTTTTCTTGCCACATTTGTAAAGTGAATCATTGAAGCTGTTAAAATTGGTAACATGGTTGTTAAGTGAATGTGGCTTCCCCAATGACTTTGCTTGTCAGAAGTTTGCAAAAGATGATCACGTGATCCTGGGAAACTGTAACCGTCATAAATACGAACCAGTTGTCAAACACCCGAATTTAAATCATGTGACCATGGGAATGATGCACCTGTCCTAAGTATGAAAAATGGTCTTAAGTCACTTTTTTCAGTGCTGCTGTAACTTTGAACGGCTACTAGACAAACTATTGTAAGTCGAGGACTACTTCTATTCCTTGCATTGAGATACACCCAGCTCTATCACTGCACTGTCTTGATAAAAAGTTACCACAGGAAAATTTGGCTAGGCAGTCTGCAATAAAATCAATTTTCTAATCAATGCAACAATTTTCCAGCTCATTAAAAGGTAGCTTTATCCCATCATACACATGCTGTGATTATTGCACTGAATATCAATGACACTGTACTATAAGAAAATAATACTTTATGAACATATGCAGGGTGTTCTACTATTTACAAGAAATACATGCTCAAGTAATTTAACCTTTCTGATACACTCCATATGTATTTATACTCACAGACTGGAATCAAAGGGATAATTGGATTCTACTCGAAGGGCCAAACATTGCAAAGGAGAAATAATTGAATAATTTGATGTTTCAACTCTGTACTATTTTGCCATGTACTTTCATGTTGAAAGAGCAAATAACTGAAACCAGTATCCATGTTTAGCCCAATTTCGTGGTGGGTGTAAGAATCTCTTATTTACATAGCATTAAATAGCCACTCCTCAAACACTTATTTTAAAAAGCATATAAGCAATTCTACCTATTTAGTAGACAATGTTGGGAACTGTGACAATTATTTGAGAAAGAGAAAAAAATCTGAATTGGGGTCCTTCATATCACAGCAAAGATAAGAAATTTGTTGTTATCAAACTGCAAATAAGAAGGGTGAGTTAGCCAATCTGATATTAACTTTACGCAACTGAATTAGTATAACATACAGCATTATGATAAATGAGGAAGCATAAAAAACTGGAAACTTTATCCGCGTTAAAGGGTAATAATAGATCTCAAATTTGGGCTAATGGTAAGAATGTAACGCCGAACTATCCTTAATCCCTACAAACAAACAATTATGACATCTCTTTCATGCAAAGCAAAAAAAAATGTCAAGAATAATTTTTAAAAAGTACAGAAAGAAACCTCTGCCCTTTCATGAACATTCTTTACAAAATTATCCATTTTATAACTGGAAGAGCTAACACAGAGGAGAACCTTGCCTGCAGTGACTCAGTCCATAATCACAGCAGTTTATTTTATTGTTCTATTATTTTTACTTTCGCTTGTTTAAGCTTCCTTTTTTATTTTTATTTATGGTTGCAAATTGCCTAGAGTAGCCCCATGGAGAGATAGGTGACAAATTTAATAATGATTATTTTCTAAAAGAGCATAGGAAACACCTTATTTTGAATGTAAGACTAGTTTTTTTTTTTCATCTTAAGACAGGAAGAATCTGAAACTTAGATGTTTCCAAGAGGATCAAAACATCCTTTTACACGTTTAAAGTAAGTTGTTTCGAATTCAAAACAGGTCAAATTGAAAATATTTTGACACTATTAATTAGCAATCTTGACTTTCTGGAAAGTTTTAGTCAGATCTGGCATCAGATCTGGTTTCAGAAGTTTTCATGATTGAGAATAAATTATTAGGTATTAGGCTTCAATGGGTGATTTTTATTTTACCGATAAATAGCAAATTTGTACTGAGAACAAATTTCTGTTTGGAAAACCCCATGATATTTGCAGTTCAGCTTACGTAACACAGTGAGAATATCACAAACTTCTGAAACCTGTTGTTCATGTGTGTAACTGTTACACAATCTACCTTTTTTTAAAAAATAAAGTTTTATTTGGGTTTTCACACATAAAATACAAGTAAAACATCTATTTTGAAAATAGCATGGTCCCGGGTGGAACTTCTTTATACAGACACAAAACTCCATTTCATGTTCCTTTTTGTGTTCTATTCCATATCTTATATTATTCTACATTTTCTACATAGTTTTTCCCCTCCTTTAATTTTCTCAATTTTATTTTGATTATCTCATCTCAATTCAAATCATTATATTTATACTTTTGTCTGTTCTGTTTCAATTTCATATTATCTTTTCTCATTAAACAAATTTTCTCCTGTAGTTACTAATTGGAGTATGACACCTTTATATCTTTTAATTACATCCATTCAACTCTTATTTAAACTTCAATATATACCTTAAGGTTATGACCTTCAATATAATACATAATACATAACTTCCAATAGAATTCTGCTTGGTACATTCTTATAATACACACTATATTCTTTTTTTTAAAAAAGGATTATAAATATATGTAATTATAAACCCTCATTCCATTCCAATTCAGTTCTATCATTAATAATCATTAAAATCTTAACATCTTTAACACTTCTTTTCAATTAAATATCATACTTCCTTAAAGACACATATAATCTCCATAATTAATTTTTCCCCTATTTCTCTTCACATATATTTTGTAAATCATTAAATATTCATTTTGTTACATTTATTAACAAGCATTCCACTGAATTACGATAGCTATTTTATCAAACATTTTAATCATAGTTTCATATTTTCTAAAATTATTTCTGTTTCTAATATAACAATACTATCTAATGTACCTTTGCAGAATCCCCTTTTCCATTAAATTTTCACCCATTATCTCTAATTAGGCCCTGTTTCTCTATATTACACAATCTACCTTTTGAAGTCTCTTAAATCTCTTCCTGTAAACATTTTGAAAGTCTAGTTTTCTCATTCTAATCAACAGAAAAATAAAAAAAACCGTAAAAAATAATTCCAGCTGCAACCACAATAACTTGTGCAATAAAGATAAGCCTTGCCTTCCAGTTTCACTTAACAACAGTTCAAAATAAAGACTGCTTTATGGCCAGCAAAGAGCTTCCAACAATTACAAAATATCACACACACACCCTGTGATCATGATCTAAGTGCTTGGCAACCTATTTGCACTTATGATGGGTAGCCAAGCACCCTGCAATCGTGTGGTCATGATTTGCAAGTTCCTCTGCCGGTGGTTTCCCCAGAAAGTCATTGGGGAAGCCGTCAGGAAAAGTTGCAAGCTGCTGCCACCTGCAGAGAGGACTTCCTCTCACCTCTGGGGCTGGTTGAAAGAACAAGGCGCTTCTTCGGATTTTGTCAGAGACTTCTTTCAGCTCTGGCTACTGGCCAGAAAAGAATTTTCTGCCGAAAACCAAGCAAGCATAGAGCCGAATTCCTGCGGCAGAGCATTCAGCCAGCCATAGAGGCAAGAGGGAACAGAAATCCAAATAGGATTTTTAGCCAATCAGAGAGGCAGCACAGTAAATAAGAAGCCCAGGGTGCCTCCGGAAGGGGGGGGGGGGAGTGAGAAGTTCCAGTGCAGGCTGCACACAAGTAGCTCTCCTCTCAGAGGCTGAAAAATCCTGTTTTGGACAGGGAGGATTTTGAGCTTCTGAGTAGAGACCCATTCAAAAGTGGCCTGTGGCAGGTTTCCAAAGATCTCCCCCACCTCCCTGAGGCAATTCCCACTCCTTACCTGGATATCTTCCACTTAATAACACGCACATCATTTAACAACTGCATTGAGGAATGCCAGACTTGTGATCATTGGCGAATCAGTCATGTGACAACTGCTTCACTCTACAACCAAGATTCTGGTCCCAAATGTAGTTTTAAGTCCAGAACAACCTGTACCTTAAACATATTGTATTGCATGTCAGTTAATGGACTATGGCTTAATTAAAAGGGAGTTTGAAGCAAATAAAACTTTAGCAGAAACTTAATATCACATTTATAAAATATTTTTATCTATAAGGTGTTCAAAATTTATTTATTCAGAAAATGTATAAACATGTAAGTAGCAATATAAACCAGAAAATGGAACTGATGCACAATGAGAATTACCCTACTGATAACCTGCCAGCATCTTTTGGATGAACGCAGATACTTCTACATTGAAAATAGAATAACAGAGTTGGAAGGGACCTTGGAGGTCTTCTAGTCCAACCCCTTGCTCAAGCAAGAAACACTATGCCATTCCAGATAAATGGTTGTCCAATCTCTTCTTAAAAACTTACAGCACTGGAACAGCCACAACTTCTGGAGGCAACTTGTTCCACTGATTAGTTGTTCCAACTGTCAGGACATTTCTCCTTAGTTCTAAGTTGCTTCTCTCCTTGATTAGTTTCCACCTATTGCTTCTTGTCCTGCCCTCAGGTGCTTTGGAGAACAGGGTGATCCCCTCTTCTTTGAGATATTGGAACACTGCTATCATGTCACCCCTTCTTTTCATTAGACATATCCAATTCCAGCAACCGTTCTTTATGTTTTAGCCTCCAGTCCCCCAATTATCTTTATTGCTCTTCTCTGCGCTCTTTCCAGAGTCCCAACATCTTTTTATGTATATTATAATATAATGTATATTATAAAAAGTGTTCATGCTCAAGTTGTTTTGGAAAGTTTAAATATTTTAACTGTAGCTGCTTAATTACTGTAAGGATTAAATAAAATCAGACATATTTCAAAATAAAAGGAATGTAGTATTCATACTTCAATATTCATATTCTAATATGAATATTTCCTTCTAATATCTAACTTTTCCAAGGATCATTCCACAGATAAATTATATTTTCCCTATTTAAAAGTCTTCCTTGACAGTTCCTGAAATCTGTTACAAGACAGCAAGCCTTTTCATCTCTGAATTTAAACACAATTCACTTTTCTGCATTCAAGGTATTTATTATGTCAGTTTTTATGAAGGCCAACATTTTCTATGATCTTCCAATATTTCACGGAATCAGTATTAATTGTTCTAATATCTGTACTTACAAATAGTTTATTTTGTAAGAATCTTTGAAAATGCTGGTCACCACCTACTGCTGCACCATAGAGTATTTTAACTTACTGCATCTGTGAATGGTTTGCCAATTGCATAGGGGCAGATAGGACAGCGCTCCAGAGGGTTAACTTCATTGCCCAGAGGATCATTTGTTGCTCTTTCCCTTCTGTGGAAGAGCTTTATCGCTCCTGCTGCCTTAAGAAAGTTCAAAACATTCTTAAAGATCCATTTCATCCTGGGCACTCTTTTTTTTAACTATTACCATCTGGCAGACGGTACGGATAATAAAAACAAGGACAAATAGGCTGAAAAACAGCTTCTATCCCAGAGCAGTAACTCAATTGAATTCTAATGTAGAGTGTAACACTAATGCCATATCAGGGATTTTCAATTCAGTTGTATAGAATGTGAAGGGCGTGTGTATTTTATTTTTATAGTTATGTGGCATTTAATTTTGTTGTACAATGTGCAATTACAATAAACTAAACTAAAACTAAACTGAATCTGTTGGTCCTCTTTGTGTGCCCAGCTGTCTTCTGAAAATCCAAGCTGAAAGTTTTCCATCTTCATACTCGTTTTACATCACAGGGATCATTAACCATTTCTGTCCCAAAAAAGTAACATTTTTAATTTCCTTTGTCAATATTTTAAACAAAAATAGGCACAAATATATATTTAACATGTAATTATGTATGAAAACCTGACATCCAAGTCTAGGAAGAGTAGAACACCAAATTAATCAACAATGATTCATAAAGTTTTAACTTGAGTAATTAGTCAATGATCAACAGTGACTGATTGAATCCAGTTCCTTATTGATGCCATCCCCCAAATTAAGAAGAGTACAATATATTAATATGCAACTTCCCTTATAACCCGCACTATACAAGACCTTACTATTTCTACTGGTTATAGATCAGAATCAGAGTGTGTGAGATGCCCTTATACCAGTTGTGATTACTTCAAAGAGAAAAGACCGGTTTTGTCTAGCAAAATACTTCCAAGACACCAGTAAAAGGAGGCCTACATTTATTTGAGAATGATGAAGAATAATCTTCCAAATTCAGAAAGGACTTTGCCTCTAGTTAAAACCCACTTCTGATCTTTAAGTATGTTTCAGACTGTGCTTAAGTACCCTTGCATGATTAAGAGATCTCATTCAAGAAAAAAAAAAGAACAAGTTATCTCACCCTGAAAATCAAGTTTTCTTTCCTTTGATTTACAGACATGTAGAAATATTTCTTAGGCACTTTCTTACATATAAAATATAGAGTGACATCACAACCTGCCAAGTGTGCATGAATTTATAATGACATATACACAAGGTTCAGGTATTACTGCAGGAAGGTTATGTACAGTATTTCAAGGCCTCACTAAAACGTGAGTTTAATTTCTGAAAACATAGAGGCCTAGTATCCTATTCTTACAAAACCATGTACATTCTTGCAGAAGCTATACTAAAACAGTGAGGGCTTTGGCGGGGGGGCATATCTGTCAAAGAGATACTGCCTTGTGTCCCATAGCCAGGTAAATCAATCACAGAAATATAACAGTATAAAACTTGGAGATTGTTAGGTATAACATTGATATCAAATATGGTTTGGGTGAATAAATAT